CCGCTTCCCTCCCGAGGTTTCCTGGTCCACGGAAGGCCACCCCCACCCCCCTCCTTCGTGGCCCTGTTCTGGGGCTTGGGCTTGGTTTGCCCTTCCTCCGAGGGAGGTTGCCGGCAGAGGATCCAGGCCCAGGGCAAACCTTGCTTGGGCCCCTTTTCATTCACCCTTTGCCTTGTTTTACTGACTTTGTTTCTCCTGGATGACTTTGTTTGATGTCCTGATATTTAAAAAAACCACACACACCCCAACGACCACTGTTTGCAGGCTGGGGGCTGTTCCCGTTGTGCTTTCACTTTTTGCGTTGGTGCCACCAGCTGCCCTTCTGTTTCCTTTTAGAACCAGGGAAACTTTCTTTTGTAGGACAAGAGATGTGTGAGATACAGACTTGACCGCAGCTACGTGAAGGGGGTCCTTCCCTCTCAGCTGGAGGAAAGAGTGTTGGCTGTTTAACCCCGGCAGAGATTAAAATCCAAAACGAGCATTTAAATCAGACTGCCTTGGTGGAGCCTTTGCGTTGCCAAAGGTCAAGCTAAGGAGCACATTCAAAGCATGGCTCTTGCATGCATTTCCAACATGTGCAGAAAGAACAGAGAACAGCATGGGTTCTGAGAGACCCTCTCCTCTTTCTCCCTCTTTTTCAGGCTTTGCAATGCGCTGCAGGTTTTAAGAAAGTGGGCGGATCCGCTCTCCCTCCCGAGAGAACATGGAAGCCGGTGTGAAGTGGCGCGCAGAGAGTCTGGATGTTGTGTCGGCCGCCTCTCCCGGATCCAGCCGGCGGATCTCCATCAGCGAATTTTCCTGCCACTGTTGCTACGACATCCTTGTCGACCCCACCACCCTGAACTGCGGGCACAGTTTCTGCAGGCATTGCCTCGCGCTCTGGTGGGCGGCCTCCAAGAAGCAGGAGTGCCCGGAGTGCCGAGAAAAGTGGGAGGGATTCCCCAAGGTCAACATCCTCCTCCGGTGAGTGGAGCTCAGCCTCGGCAGGGCTCTTGCACGGCGGGCGCTCGGGTGGTGCTTGGAGGAGCAGTGCTCGGCTCTCTTCTCCAGCTGCCTCCGTTGCCTTTGAGGGAAGTAAACAGCTGGGGTTACAAAAGGAGGACGTTTCTGGCATTGCACGTTTGCCTGTTGGTCTTCTGGGAGACGGAGTGGGCAGCCTCAAGCCAGCACCTGAAGCTGACCCTTTGGGGGGTCTTGGTCAGCCACACACCGTCCTGCCCTGGAATGCCATCATTTGGTGCATCTGCCTGGCCTGTTGGCAGGATTTTTCCTCCAAGGGACACAAATGCTTTTCTTAGGGTATATTTACTGGCAATCCGTGGTACTTTAAGGTGAAATGGGCTTGTCTTTTGGGCCCCTCCCCTTTTGCCCATGGCTCCGCCCACCCCAGAAATGCAGCCCCCAAGAATGTCTTGGCCAGCCCTCGGTCAAAGGGGTCTTGGTCCCCAGGAATTCCTCTCTTGGTCTGCACAGCAGACCCAGAAGGCTGGTAGAGAGAGCAGTTGTCCTGGGGTCCCCGTGGGAGCTTCATAACGGGGTGGGGGGTGTCCAAAGACAGGCCTTCCCACCCTGTGTGATGAAAAGAATCCCCCCCTGCTCTCTCTCTCTTTTTCAATAGGGACGCCATTGAAAAGCTCTTCCCGGATGCGATCAAGCAGAGGAAGGTGGACATCCAGCAGAACCCCGACGTTTCCCACAGCCTCGCTGCCTTCCAGAAGTATGGGACGGATCAGACGTTGGCCACTCCCAGTGTGGGGAGGATGAATCCTCGGGGAGGGGGCTTCTTCTCTGGCGTCCTGACAGCGTTGACTTGTGTGGCGGTACGTCTTTGCCTGTCTGCTGGGAGGCGTCCCCGAGCCTGAGCATCCGGTCCCTCTTTGCCTCTGCGTTTGTCGTATGTCTGTTTCATGGCATGCTGCCACGCCTGTTGCGGTGCAGTCACTTTTCCGAGGCCACCCGTTGAAGCCATGGCTGGGAGGGATTTGAGCCAGGTGTTCAGGCTCTGGGTCAGCGGCTCAGTCTGTGGCTCGGGAAGTGGGGAAAGGCATGTCCTCCCCCTTCATCTCCCCTCCTTCAGTGACTCTCCTGACCGTTTTCTAGGTGGTTTTGCTCGGCTACCACTGGAGCAGCCGGGATTCGGAGGACGACCTCCTGGTCCACAAGCCTGTGGCCAAATGGACGGCCGAGGAGGTGACTCACTGGCTGGAGCAGCTCGGCCCTTGGACGTCCCTCTACAAAGACAGGTTTTTGCTTGAGAGAGTGAATGGAAGGTAGGAAGGCCCGCGGGGTGACGTGGTGGTGGAGGGGGGGCAGGCAGGCCGGGGCGGGCAACCCCTGTGAACGCAGGACCGTGCTTTATCAGAGGTTTTGTGTCCCTCAGGTGATGAAAACATTTGGGGGCCAAAAAAGGGTTTGACTCCAAAGTAAGTTTTGGTTCCTTGTCCGACTGTTGGCCGTAGGCGCCTGTTAGCCTTCCTGCTAGACCCTTGTCTGAACTCTAGAATAGGCTTGATTCGTGCGTTGTGGCTTTGAGGGGAGCGTAGGCGGCTCCTCCAGTGTGACTCTTTACTGGTCCGGCTGCGGGGGTGCCTTCTCGGCCTGGTGGCCCCCCCGCCGTTTGGAACAGGGAAAGGTTCCTCCTGTAACAGGCAGGCGCTCTCCTCCCTGGCAGGCTGCTTTTAATGCTCACAGAGGAAGACTTGTCCAAGGCGCCCTACCGCGTGGAGAACAGTAGCCACAGGAAAGCCATCATGACGGAACTGGAGCGAGTGAAGACGCTGGGGATGAAGCCGCCACAGAACCTTTGGGAATACAAAGTGAGTCGTGGGGTGCAGAAACCTCTTTCAGGTTCTGCCGCTCAGGGTGGCCTTCACGTTTCCCTGCTCCTGCCTGCTGTCCCAAAGTGGAACCTGCCCCCCCCCCTCATTTCTGCGTGATTCATACGTAAATGGCATTCCTTTTCTCTCCAGAAGTCGGGAGAAGAGGGATCTCGCTCTGGGGGCTTTGGCTGGCTTTACCTACATGTCGTGTTCTGGTTCCTTTCCAGGCGGTGCACCCAGGGAAATCTCTGTTCCTGCTCTACGCCTTGAAGAGTTCCCCCCGCCTCACCATGCTCTACTTGTACCTCTTCGATTACACGGAGGCCTTCCTCCCCTTCCTCCATACCATCTGTCCCGTGCAGGACGAAGAAGATTTTGAGGAAATCATGGCCAAGCTTTTGGTCAGTTTTCAGAACCATGCTGAGGAACGCTCTTGTTTAAAGGGGAGGGGGAAGCACAGTGGAGGAGCCCCTGGAGGAGGGGGGGCTTGCCAGGGAGGGGGGGGCAGCACCAGCTCAGGCTTCCTTTTCTCTCTCAAGTGAGTCTTAGAGAGGTGCTGAGTCCAAGTGAGTTGTTGCCCAAAACCACATCTCAGCCACCGGAGTCGGCAGGAGAGAAACTCTGGAGCCCCTGCATTCCGTGTCGGCCGCTCCCCGGGTGCATTTTCCACTTTAACGTCTGAAAGGACTTGGCTTTGGGCAGAAACATGTGCTTTTGAATATATAGGAAGGGGGTGTAATCACCATGGAAGGCTCGGAATTCTGTGTGCAGAGGTGAAGCGTTCCATAGGTTTCGGGTGTCTGTGGGTAGCAACCCAAGGGTTCCAAGGGAGGCGTCTGAAGGCAGGAAGAGGTTCCGTCATCTTCCGGCCTGTATCCTTGCCTAGCCAGCCCTGGTCTCTTTGCAGGACCTGAAAGAACCGGCGTGGAAACAGTGGCGGGAGTTCTTTGTCAAGTTCCTTTTCCTGCCGTATCAGCTGATAGCCGAGTTTGCCTGGGACTGGCTGGAGGTCCATTACTGGACGTCGCGCTTTATCATCGTCAATGCCATGTTGCTCTCCGTGCTGGACCTCTTCTCTTTCTGGAGGCTGTGGTCGAGAAGGGAGCTGAAGTGAGTGCTGTTCAGACCCTCGGCAGCCCTTTCAGGAGAGTCTCTCTGGTGCTGTCGGCCTCCTTTGGTGGCCAACGTTACCTGCTAAGCTGTGGTGGGGTTTTGTTTTGTCTTAAATGTGCAGTAACGCTGCTGTTCCAGGTGGGTGCAGCCACCCTCTGGATCTGGTTTCTCCATCTTTGTGCTGGATCCAGAGGGCTTTTACTCCGAACATAACGGTCCCTGTGTCCTTTTTCTTCTAACTCCCTGTTTCAGACCCTCCCAGCCTCTTCTTGCACAGGGAAGATTTTTGTGGGTTGTGTGCGAGAGTCATTGGAAACAGACTTTATTTTCTCATTCAGACTGCTGGCTTGGGGTTTGGGGTCTGTGTGCCCAGTTGCCCTCTGTTGTCTGTGATGCTGCGAGAGGCCTGAATCTAACCTCCGGCTTCCACCTGAGAAATCTCACCTGCTCCTCCTTTCTCGCCCCCTTCAGGATGATTCCTCACCACATGTGGAGCCACTTCTGGAAGGTGTCCACCCAGGGATTCCTCATGGCCATTTTCTGGCCCGTTATTCCGCACTTTCTCTGCAACTGCCTCTTCTACTGGGCTTTGTACTTTAACCCAATCATAAACATTGACCTGGTGGTCAAGGAGCTCCGTCGCCTGGAGACGCAAGTCCTGTGAGGACCGGATGCTCTGGGGTCCGCCCCACGCCCTGCGATACCCTGAACCCACCGGCCACAGGAAGCTGATGGAGGAGCAGCTCGGTTGCCATTTCTTTCTCCAGTAATAAACTCAAGTTGATTTTTTGGGAGGGTTAATTTAATTGCATGCCTGCTTTGTGGCTCTTCTCCTTTTGTTAAGCTGCAAAGGGCGGTAGCAGGTGGAAAGGGTCCCCAGGTTTCCTGCCGAGAGGAGGAACAGTAATCTGCCCACTGTCTCTGTTTGTGCTGGAGCCGTATTCCATATCCCGTCTTTGGCAAAGTGGGAAAGACTGGAAAACTGACAACGGGGCCAAGAAAGCTGGCCGGAGTGTGTGTGTGTTTGTCTTCCTTTCCCTTCCCTTTCATGACATGATCGGTGAACCTGCATGGAAATACTGTGAAGTGGTCGGTTTTGAATGTATATATAGATAAAAAAGCCACTGCTGTTAAATATCTCCCAAAACCAAGATTAGCTTTGTTTCAAATGCAATGTTCCTGTAAATGAAACTTGACTCTGCATTTGTATTAATCTTCAAATTTGCATACAGATATTTTTAAGAATTAAAAAAAGAGATTTTTTCCTAGTATTTATTAGTACCAATTTTTTAAAAATCGTCTCTGGTTCCTTTCCTGGCTTGCCTTTTCTTTTCCTCACAACACCTCTGCGGGGTAGGCCTGGATGAGCAATGTACTGTATTTCAGGGGGAGATTTGAACAGAAGCCTTGTTGCCTCACTGCACCGTACAGTTTGTAAACTTTCAGGAGAGATCACCACATTGATATAAGCTGAGTCCTCCGTTTTTTTTAGGTAGACCTGGGCCAAAGCCCCGTTGCTACCCCCCAACTAGATTAAACCCCAAAATTTTGATTAACCGGTTGGCATTTGGTTCCTCATTTCCGCTTTTGCTGTGATCAGCCACTGGGCTAAGCTAGAGGCGTTTAGCTTTGTGTTTTTGGATTTGCAGTTTCTGGAATTCCCCAGGCAGTTGAATTCTTAAGAGTTGCCATCCTTAAAGCAGCAAATCTACACCCCTCTAGTTTAGACCCACGTCTTGCAATTTTCCCTGCTGCACTGATGCCATTTGGATTTTCTGGAGCATCTCTTAGCACCTGCCGAAACAGAGGTTTGTGTTTCACCGCTGCAGAAAGCAAGCCGTGTCTGTTTTTCACCTGGGCATTTTCAGATACAAGCAAACTCTGGGTGACCCCTTGATCTGGAACTCACCCGGGCTTTACAATAAACCATGGACTGTCGCTCACTCAGTTGAGACGAGGGGTGCCAGGAGTTGGGATTGAGCTTCATGCAACTTGACCAGACTTGCTGGTTTTGAAGCGTCCTCCTCCTCCTCCTCCTCCTTGTGGGGTCAACCTTTTGGCTGTCCAGACAACCCCTGGGGATCCCTTACAGTCCTGGCCTTCAGAATGGTGGTTTTGCCAGGAGAGTTGTGAGCGGCAGAGGCATCTGGGCCTCGCCCAGCCCGGAAGAAATCAAGAGGCGCTTGGTTTTGATTGGTGAAATGTTTCCAACTCTCGGTTGGGAAACGTCCCGTGCCTGCGTGATGCTGAGCCGACGTGAGAGTCTGTCTCAATCATCCTTACACTTGGGACTGTGGGCTCCGCACATGGACTCTGGCCAGAAGATGTACCTGAGGTGGTAGGGGGCTTTCGCCAGGCATGTGGCTGCTTCCCGGTCACATTCACACGACAGCTTTTGGCACTTGTCCTCCAGATCATCTGCAGAAGAAAACGGGAGGCCGAGAGGCAAGGAAATCAAGGACTCATCTGAATTGCGTAAAAATTCTACAGCCTGCACGCAGCCCACGCTTAGCTCCCTGCTTGCTCTGCGTGCATGTGTGTGTGATCTAGGAGTGTGGATCGGGCATGTTGCCCACCCCGGTTCAAGGCCAGGCCATGCACCAGCTGGGCCGTGGGTTTCTCTGCCCTCCAGCAGAAAGGAGAGGGACCCCCCCCCCGTGAATCTTCCTAGTGCATGGGCGGAAACGTAATGTTTAGGAAACTCCCCTTTGCCCGTTCTTGCTGAGTTTCTCAAGGGACCTAAAGTGGGCCGAGAGCAAAGCAGGCACCCGAGACAGAGCCGGCCACCCCCAGCAAAGAAGGAAGAGGGACTCACCGCACTGGGGCTCGTTGTCCTCGCACGTCCAGTTATAGGGCTCCGTCTTGGGGCCACAGCCTTCCTTCTCGGCCTTTGAGTAGCAGCAGTCATGCTTAAAGCAGCACCTGGGAGCATCAGAAGAGAAGGTCTCACGGACTGGGGCACCGAATCGAGGAAGTCCCAGATCCAGGGACTTGGGAACGGTCTCTGCAGGCCACAGGACTGCTGACTGAAAAGCCTTTGTTGTCCTGCTCTGGGGCTCCAACCCCTTGCAGTGGCGACAGGAGAGAGGTTGCCCAGGTATTTTGGACTACACAGCCCATGAGCCCCAATCAGCCTGACCAGTGATAAGGAAAGGAAGGAATCGTTGGGGGTGGGGGGCCCTCCGTAGGGCATGATCTGAGCCAGTATGTTTTTCATGCATGCTTTCGCTTTGAAAAGCCAAGCTGACCATTGGGTTCAGGATCCGTGCCTGCTTAGATCAAAGGACTCCTGGGCTGAGCTGCTGTGTGTGGAAAAAGGAAGTAATGCTGCCGAGCCCTCCCTCACACGGGAAGCCTGAAGACGCTCTGGGGGCAAAAATCACAAAACTGAGCCTGTCCCACTTTGGGAGAAGGCAGGATTCTCGGGAAAAGACCGTCCTGCTGGGAAAGGCGGGAGGCAGCAGGAAAAGAAGAAGACCCCATACGAGATGGACTCCCTCCCTCAAGGAAGCCACAGGCTCGCGTTTGCAGGAGCTTTGAAGGGCAAAGTTGGAGACCGCTCATCCATAGGGTCGCCTTAAGTCGGAGGCAACGTGGCGGGACATGGCAGCAATAGTTTGCAAGATAGTTGGCCTGAAGGCTCAACCCACTTTGTTCCCCGGTAGAACCAGCGAAGTGGTCCAAAGGTCTGTTTTGGCCCTTGGGTCTGTGTGCGGGGCTTACGTGCCGTGTCCGAGAACATGCCCGTTCATAGTATTTTAAGCACGACCAAGTCTTTTAGCTCCTTGTTTCAACGCCTCTGCCAGAAAGAGAGAGGGAGCACATCAGAGGGGAAGGGGATGGAGTGCTCCCTGGCTGGCCTCAAGGCGGGAGCAGAACCTCCACGTGAGCAAAGATGGTTACGCTCCCGTCCAGAAGAGCCGCCAGGAAGGGCCTTCCAGGGAGGAAGAGCTGCTTTCCCAATCAGCCAACGCCCTGGTTTCAAACAAACAAACAAACAAACACAGGCAGGATGGCTTTGCAATCATGGGTCCAAAGTGGAGGCAAAAACAGGACCTGGGAAAGGTTCTTGGTGATGTGGCACAAAAGTGGCCAGAAGGAGAAAGGCAGGCCTTCCTGCCGCGCTCCAAGGTCAGCTATTAAAGCCACCACTGAGTTCTGCAAAACTATGGAAGCCACAGAGACTTGGTTTCCCCAAAGGCTTAAAATAACAGTCACTGGATGGTCATAACAAGGAGTCCGACCGAAGCCTGTCTTTTGGGGTTTCCTTCTGGAAAGCGGTATAAGGCTGTGGACTCCTTCCATGGGCCAAGGGCATGTCTGGCCGGCCTGGCCGCCTGCCTGCCTTCTTCCCAACTATATGTTGGGATGCAGGAGTGAGCCAGCATCTCTGGGAGGGCCTTTTTCTCCCAATTTCCCCAAATCTCCGTGGTCCACAAAGACGTCCATCTACAGAGAAAAAGCAGTACGCGGAGGGCCATTGGCCCATGAAGGCCGTGTGGTTTCTAGTATGTATTCCTGGGCAGGCCTTCCAGCTCCTAAAGATTTTGCTAGATTAAAACAAAACCCACCACATTGACCCTTTTCTGCCCCTCTTGCCTTCAGCCGAAGGAGAGCCGTTTAGGGTGGAAGCCCTGATCAATTTGTTGTGAGCACCCGGCTTCTACAGTTCTGTGATTGCTCCAGCCACAGAGAAATTGGCAAGTTCATTCTACATGTTTTCGGTAGTTTTTCATGGCGTTTCAACTCACTTAAATACAACCAGATGTAAAGGGGTGGGTGGGAATGGTATCCCCTCAGCTGGGTCACTGGGTGCTTTGCATTATCTATCATCCTCAGCATTTCTGAGACTGACTTGGAGCGACTATGTAGCCCATACAGTCTGGGGGTGGGTGGGTTCTGGGAGCTGTAGTCCCAGATCTCCCGGGGCCAAGGAGAGGCTCTCTTACCAGTCCACTCTGTCGTTGGGCCAGCCGCTCCCTCCCAAGCCGCAGTAGCAGCCGTAGTGCAGGTAGGCCAACGGGGTGCGCCCCGTGGTGCACTGGACGGCCCCCGCCAGCTGGATGACCCCTCGGCGGTTCCGCGATGACGCTTTTCCCAAACTCCTTTCTGCTCCTGGAGTGGGAGAGGAAGGGGGATGAGGGTGGGAGAAACAAAGTGTCAAGGATCAGGACAAGCAGAAGGTTTCTAAGGAGGACCCCCCCCAAAAAAACTTCTTAAAAAAAACACCTTTTAGTCACTAAAGTCTCAGGCTGCAGGAAAGAGGCACAACGGCACAGCACTGGGGAGGGGAGGGCAGGAATCCTGATGGTTGCTGGTCTCCAAGGGCTCAGCCTCTGGCAAACAGAAGAACTTTTTGGATTTATTCCACATGAATCCAGAAAGAAAGAGGGCATCCATCAGCCAAGGCCACAGAGCCACCTGAACCTGGTCCAGATGCCATGGATTCTTTTTTGGGGGTGTGTGGGGGTGTTTCTTTGTGCCCCAGAAATCACTGTCTTTTGTGGTGCTTGGACCAAAGCTGCTGGCGTTGTCTCTCTGCTGAGCCCAGGAGCTTGGCTTCTTCTGGTTGAAAGAGGTTTAGGAGCGACAGCCCCTCCCCCAAATGCATTGAGGGAGATACAACCCTCCGGGGCTTGGGTCGGACCAAGGCTTGGCCAGCTTTATGGGGAAGCTCAGACCGGGCAAAAGACAACGTTGAAGAGACAGGGGCGTGTGGGGTCCCCCTCCCTTTCCACTCAAGGCCTTTTCAACTTTGCTTGGCAGCCCTGGCTCCTCTTTGCCGGCCGGCCGGTGTGAAGGGGCCTCGGCTGATCCAGCACCATGGACAGAGGTTGCCTGCCCCTGGGGATGGGGTGGGGGGGCGGGAGGTCACCTTCTGTGCCAGGGCAGCTTCAGGGTCAGCTCCGCCTCTCGAGACTGCCCCCCCTCCAGTTCAAGTGGGAGGCCAGCGGAATCGGGGTTCAGCTGGAAAACAACACAGGGACGAAAGCAGAGCTGGAGGAGCAGAAACTGGGGCGCCCTCTATCGCGATGGCCTCCTACCTTTCGGGATGGTGTTGATGGGAGGAGGAGGAGGAGGAGGGTCACCCGGTCCATCTCTTGTGGAAAACTGCAGCACAGAGCATCTCGGGACATCTTCCCAAGAGAAAGGGGGTTTTCCTCCCTTTTTTAAAAATTAGACCCCTCTTACCACTTGGCAAGTGGAAGCCAGCATCCGCTCTGTGGCCACCTTGGTTAGACGGGGCATTGCAGGGCTGGGGAGGGGGGGGAAGAGGTCCCCCTCTATTCTTGTGGCACCTTCTGACCCTTTCCCCAGGGAGACCGAAAAGGGGCCCGCAGGGTTGGAGATGGAGTTGGGCTGGGAAAGCTTAGATTCCTTTGGACCCACCGAGAATCCCTTCCCAAATGGAGACAGCCTGCGTGCAACCAGAATAGGCCACCTGGCCCGGTGGCTTGCCTCAAATCAAGGAAGGCCTCTCTTTTTTTGGGGGGGGGGTTTGTGTCTGTGTCTGTCACTGTGTGTGATGCTCTGGAGCACTGATTTTGTAGGTCTCATTCTGGGTATATTTTGCAACACAAAAGGCTTGTGTGTGGGGGGGGGGGGTTTTTTGGGCCCCCTTTAGGCCACTTTGCCCA